AAAATATCATTTATGAGGCTTAAAAATGAAATTCACAGAAGTAATTCTCACTCGATCAAGGGTCTCAACCATTAGAGTGGGGTTTGGGGATCGCTTAGCTTTCACTTGGCGCATGAAAATTTGTACAATGACTAGATGTGCATTGAGAGTCCTTCGTTTAGAGACACATGGGGGAAATTTAGAGAAAAAGACCTGAACAGGACTACTCAATTCTGTCGTATCTCCACTCGCAGAGAATGAAAGGGTTTTTGTCCTTTGCAGAAAAATGGCCTCAGTCTAGAAGCAGAAGCCCACATTCCACATATTATTCCCCTTTTTTTTGGTCCTTTTGGTAGTTTAGTTAGAAAATACTAATTTTCATTTTTCCTCAAAAAAGAAAAGAAAAGAAAAGAAAATACTAATTTTCATAAAAAAAGAAAAAGAGAAAACTTAATATTGGGTTCGATACGCCATTTCCCTTGTATTCAAATTTATCCATCATTTTCTAAATCAATTAGAGTTATTATTTTGAAGTACAAAGCACCATAGCCCCCCGATTTTTAAATTTGATTTTGCTACAAATAGCTTGGCTTTGGGCTGTAATTAACTCATGTTGAATAATTTATTGAAAAATAAAAACTAAAGAGATTAGCACTAGTCAAATTTCTAATAGCTCATGACATGACCTAAAATTAAAATTTTGATGACCCCTAAATTTATGCTTATTTAGTGTTCTAAAATGAATAATTGATGATAAATTCATATGAATTTGGTTCATAGGATTAAGTGATCTTTGTCATTTTAGTAAAAGTTTAATCTTTTTTTATTTAAATAATAGTTCAATTTGATTTTATGATAATTATTCAAAAAAAATTAAAGATAAATTCATACATTCTAATCCAGTTATATTAATCGTAATTTATTAAGATCACTTTCATCATCGATTACAATTTTAAACTTCACAAAATTTTTTTCCTTATCTTTTTACCCTCTCCCCCAATTATAATATGTTCAAAAAGCGAATGATTGAAGATAGAACAGTTGGATTAGTATAAAATGAATTTGTACCAGATAGAGATGAGTAGAATATTTTGGCCAATCGATGAGGTGGCAGATGAGGATGATCCACTTAAAGGTTAATTCATTGACTAATTTTGCCAAGATTAAAGCTTCTTTTTTTTTTACAGGTTACATTTTGAGAAGAAAATTGAAACCCTACTTCTTAATGAGATCGCGCATTTTATTATGAAATGTATAATTATTGAGTCATGAAATTTAATTATAAAACTTATCCTCTTTGTCGATAAAAATTAGTTGAGAATCGTATTTTTAAAGTCGTGGTATGTACTGTAGATAATTAGAAAAAAAATTATTTACCTGAATACGTATTTCTATTTTAGGCAATAATTATTTTAATAATCCCCATAAGTCAATGATGCCACGGTTTGGACCACAACCCAACCAAAATTGGATGAGCATGAGGGGGCAAGATAAAAAAAAGAAGGGCACTACTGCTCCCACTAATACACAAGGGAACTTTTTTTAAATAAACCGAACTTATAATATGCACCGGATAGGAGCTGTTATAATTTACTTTCTATGTCTTAAATAATTGTATTATTTTATTTTATTTTAAATTAATTATTATTTTTAATTCTTTTAAATTAAATAAATATTTTTAATTTAATAAATTATTATTTATTTATAAAAATTTTGACTTTATCGTATATTTTTTTAATACATAAGTACATATATGAATTATTTTAAAATTATTAATTAAAATAAAAATTATTGTTTTTAAAAAGAGTACAAAATATCCAACCTTTCACTACTACTCTCATTTAAATTAAAATGGAAAAATAATAATATATAATATTATGTATAACTTCTCAAATAAAAAGAATTAATTTTATGATTTGGTTTAAAAATGCTTAACATATTTTTTGCACAATGATTACTTAAAATATAAAATTATTATTTTTAATTAATATTTTATATAAAAAGTAATTTTTAGGTCAACTCACA